TGTGTGTGTGTGTGAGAGAGAGAGAGAGAGAGAGAGAGAGAGAGAGAAAGAGACAGTTCCTGCAGTGTATTTTTGATTGGTGGTGGCGTTGTAGGCCGGCGGAGAGGGCTCAAAAAAAAAAGAAGACGACATGTGTGGTCGGTGCTTTTTTGTTAGCGGAGCCTTTTGCATTATGCTGTTTTGTGGTTTTGTGGGCCGACGCGGAGGAGTCTCCAAGTTTTTGTGGACCTATGGCGGATGGGGTCGGTGCTTTCTTGCTGGTGGAGTCCTCTGTCTTAGGTAAGTTCCTTCTTGTCCTCCAGTGCCTCCACCCTTTTATGGATCAAATAAATATATGTATATATCGTCAAACAGGTAAGTGTGCCGCTTCGGAGGCAGATGGGTGTGTGGGCACTTGGCGCTGATCCACAAACGTGGCCATCCTTGCATTTTCTATTATATTGTCTATCTGTACTGTTTTTGTTATGGATGGTTTGTTATGATTTGTGGAGGAAATGAGAGAGGGAATTTGGGGTGCTTTAACAACACACACACACACACACACACACACACACACACACTCCTCGCTTACAATTGTAATCCTTATACTGTTTCTGATTTCGCAGACGTTGTTCGCTGGATAGAGAAGAGCACTGTGCTGTCTGCCCAGAGGACGACAGCGCTGCACCTGGTGTGAACAAAGAACTCCTGGCTATGGCATTTATGGGTAGGCAACTGCAATTCCGGCCTGCTCCGCAAAACCACCTGCCATCCAGTTCATTTCAGTGCTCTTATCTTTGCAGATAATTCATGGACCCTATGAGACAATGGCGGTAGGGTGCGCATAGTGGGAAATATTAACTCTTTCTATCACCGAATGCTGGAGGATCATTCAGTCTGGCTCGTCCATTAGGAACAGTATGTCGATGAGCACTTGCAAGCACTGCACCTCCCGGAGAGCAATCCTGCTGATTCTACCACAAACAGTGAAAGGACCTCTCCAGAGGATGGTGGCTGTACCCTCCCGTTGTGTCATCGCACAGGTGCAGTTCGGTTGGCATCTACACGGCATAGCCTTTGCTCCGAACACTATCAAGGGATGGTCACTGCTAGCCTCTCACACGAAAACTGTGATCCCCTGTCTTGTGCTCATCCCCCTCACCCCTTGATTTCTTGCCCAGCATGCCGTTGTGGCCTTGATCTGCCATGCTTAGATAACTGTGCATTTCAGCCTTCCATACTCATGACATGTCAGCAACCTGCCATGTGTCGTCAATGCTTCCAGGAAGCTGTCATAGAAAGTATGTGTCTTTACTGCGTGGACTATCCTCGGTGCCATCACCCTCCACGTCCTCTCCTAGCATGTCCCACATGCGGTGTTGGTCATATGCCTGCGACAACCGCTGACGGATCTCCCTCTTTCTTGCCAGACGAACGACAGACACAGCAGTCCGAGGAGGAAAATAGACTTCTATATGAACCACCGGCAGAGCGAAGTGCTCATAGTTTATCACCACCAGGGCAAGTTGTTGCGGACCAAATCCTGCAGCAGCTGAACGCCCTTGCTTTGGACCGATCCTCCCTGTCGCCATCTGCCCATAGAGAAGGGATAAATACTGAGGAAGCCCAAGAAAGATGTGCCATGCCGCTTTGTGATGACCCGCCGGAGATTCAACTAGCATGTGGTTCACATGCCTTGTGCCATGAGGATTATGAAGGGATAGTCCATGCGAGTTTTTGCTTCGATACTTACAACGACAGTCAGTACTGTACTCATGTACGGCACCCTCACATGTCATGTCCAATTTGTAGACGGGCTGGAATGGCAATGCCTCTATAATTGTGGCCGACGTGCCTCTGTGTTCCTAGCATGTAGGAGCCAAGTAGCCTGTGACATCTGTCTGCGCCACGCCATTCGATGCAGCAACCGTGAGTGCAAGAATTGGATGCGGTGCTTCCATAGTCCACACCCGAACCGGTCCTGTCTGGTCTGTAGGGGTGGCCGCTTGCCATAGGCATTAACTGCTCCTCAGCCCAACATGTTCCCCTCCACTCCCTTTGTGTTAGTAACAAATACATATGAATGAGCATCGTTAAGAGAACAGATGATATGAAGATCAGAAATGAAATGAATGGAAGTATGAAGATGAAGGACGGGCACAAAGACTAAGTATAAGCTGAAGATCTGAAGTGAAATGAACAGGAGTATGAAGGCCTGATGAGAAATGCACAGGAGCATACCTTCCGTTTTGCTCTGCCTCCTGAAATAACGTGCAAGTGGGCCGTGAAGGCACACGGGGATGTGGGCAGCTGCCGCTCAACCACAATCAACGTGGGCAGCTTTGTACGTAAGAGGCACAGTAAAAGGGGAGCTGCAAGAACAAATGGAAGGGGTACCCCAAGGACAACCAATAAACTGTCTAATTGACATTGTAAAATTGCTTTAATATGTTGGACTGTCTCATCTCAAATGCTCTCGTTGTCTGCAAGAGGACAAAGATTGCTTTGATTCTGAATCTATTCATCCGGGTGGAATTGTGGCCGTTGTGGTGAAAATCTCTCTCTCTCTCTCTCTCTCTCTCTCTCTCTCTCTCTCTCTCTCTCTCTCTCTCTCTCTCTCTCTCTC